CATCAATTAAACTCCACTAATGAGTTCAGTGGAAGCAGGATCTTGGAGTTTGTGAGTCCTGGGCAGCACCAGCAGCCAGGTCTTTCTCAAAGTTCAATAATCAGGAGATTTCTGAGGTGGTGACCTCAAAGTGCTCTGGTTTGTTGTGTTCTTTATTTAGAGCCGCTGTTGGAGTTTCCAGTGAGCTCCAGGCTGTGTGCATGAGACCCAGGCACAGCCAGCAGGCACCCTGCATGCCTAATTAATGAGCTGATTTGCATGCCAAATGAACTTCATGCACAGCAGGATATTTACACAAAATTTTTACAGGGTATATTGACCAAAAAAAAATTCAGCAAAATAAAAAATCCTGGAAAGCAAAAGGCTGCAACTTACTCCTTCCCAACCAGAGGGATCCAGCAGGGATATCACAGTTCAATATGTCATTTGTACAAGTCTCAGTGGAGATTTTTTAAAATAAAATCTGTTGCAGGTTGAAATCCAAGTCGGTAACGAAGGGAAAGGCAAGGGCAGCATTTTTATTTTTAAAGGATAATATAAAATGAATAAATTGCTGGAACAGGTGTGTTTGTCCTGCCCACCCAAAACTCTTAAGCTGCATTTGCTTTGCCTGTGACACCCTGGATTTGCATACTCAAACAAGCTGAAAACATTGGTGTTGGATTATAATCTTTATTTTAATGAAAAGTTTGGAAGGAGTCAAAAAAAAAAATACATCTTTTCAAGACTTGTATTTAATTTTTTATATTTTTTCTAAAATTCCATTCTTTTCTATAATTTCATTCCTGTCTATAATTTCATTCTTGACTTTTCTATAATTTCATTCTTGACTTTTCTATAATTTCATTCTTGACTTTTCTGTAATTTCATTCTTGACTTTTCTGTAATTTTCATTCTTGACTTTTCTATAATTTTCATTGCTTTCCCTTTTCTGTCCTGTTTGACAAAGCTGTGCATTTTGCCGTGCAGGAGCACCCAGCTGCCCGTGTCCTGCAGCTTCCCCACGTCCTCTGTGGCATTTTATTCCCTCTGCCAGGCTCTGGGCAGCACATCTGGAGCCCACTGAGCATCTTTCAGCTCGGCTGGATGCAGACAAAAGGGAAAATTTTAATTATTGCCTTGCTGGCCACTGAGATCAGTGTTTAATGGTGCTGGACTCGCCTGAGCAGAGGCACTGACAGGAGAGGGTGCTCATGATTTAGGGAAGGGACAGGTCTGGTCCCCAGCCCTGTGTTCAGCAGCTGTGCCCGAGGATGCCTTGCAGCAGCAGGGAGAAGAAGCAGATGCAGGCTTGGGGCAGCTAATCCTCGAAATGCAGCCCTGCGGTGATGGTGAGCTCTCAGAGAGACCTTTCGGTTTCAAGAGTCAATTTGGATGTAAAAACAGAATCCAGCTGGGCAGGGTCAGGGCTCCAGCCATGGTCAAACGGCAGTACAGGCTGATAAAAAGGTTGGGAAATCAGCAGAGGGGTCAAACCTGCACGGAAATGTTCCCTCAGCCGGGGCAGCGGCGTTTGATCCCCGCTGGATCAGCGCTTGGGAGCTGAGTCACAATCGTGCAGCCTCAATATCTGCCCTGGAGGCCACACAAATCGGGATTTCACAGCTCTCTGGGGCTCCTCGAGTGCCCTGTGCTGTGCCTGTGGGGGACACTGGGCTCAGGGAAATCAGGGATGGAACATCTTTCAATAAGGAGATGTTCCAGGCAGACACAAGACGCAGGGATTTCAAGATGACTTTTGCTGCTTGATTTTTTAATCCCTTCCCAAACCTTCCAGTGCTGTTTGCTGATGCTCTGGGTGCTTTCATCCCCCATCCCTTCCTGCTTCGGAGCCCACTCGGAGGCAAGGCATGAGCTGGGGCTCTGCAGCCCCAGGTGTGACCTCCAGAAAGGTCCTGAATTCGCCTGGGGCAGATTTTCCTCTGGTACAAACCTCGGTTTTGTGTTCTCCCCTGGGAAATAAGGGTGGGATCACCTTTCCCTCCTGCCTTTTGTCGAGCTGTCTGTTCCTCAAGTGCTCAGACAACCATAAACACAGCTCCAGACCCCCTCCAGACCCACCTCCCTCCTCCTCTACACACAGGCAGCACACACCCAGCTCATCCTCAACGTTTTGGGCTTTTTTTTTTTAATTATTTATTTAGAAATAATAAAATAAGACATAATATATAAAAATCTGTACAATCCACAGTTTGTGCAGTACATTAGGAAGACTTTGATACAAAAAGGCTGCAAACAGGAAAATAGTCATGGACAACTGTCAGATGCCGAGATTGTTCGTCTTACAAGAGCTGCAGGCCAAAAAAAAGTCCTTAAAAAATCAGCTTCTGATGGGCTGTGGGGTGGCAGCTAGGCAGCACCTTCTACTTCACAATGTGGTGAGCAGCCAGAATGAGACATTACAGTACTTCTCAGTTTCACCTCGTAATCCATCGTGAGAGAGAAAACCTACCAGGACAAATTAAATATCACAGCCCTTTGTCTTTCTCCGAGGGCTTCTGCTAACGCAGGAGTGTCCCACGGCTGGGAGAGGGTAATTAAAGCCAGTTAATGAGTGAGGATTCCTACCCCGGCAGCTTAACCCAGGACAACTCGCAGGGAAGAGTCGGAGGGAGGGAAGCATCCCCACCTGCCTCTGCTCCTGTCACTGTACACAGAATTATGGGTCAGACAATGTGTCTCATTCAAGTATTTTCAGGGAAGGGCAGAAATAACATATTCCCCCCCAGCCCCTAAGCAAAAAACAGGATAAAAACTTCCGTGCGAGCCGGGAGAGCCAATTTATCCTGGATAAAGAGGCTGAACCGAGGCCTGGGGGAGGCTCTGGGTAGGGCTCCATCAGCTTAAAACATTTAAAGTTTAAAGTTTAAAGTTCAATGTCAGCATTAGCTTGGCCCAGGATCGATGGGAACTGAAGGAAAGCTGTCAGTCACTGCCTAGTCCTTAAAAATAATATTTTTTTTTAAAACAATTCCTCCAATTTGCTGCTGAGAAAGCCAAAATTGATGGCAAAAAGGCTCTTCCCAGCAGCTTCCCAGAGCCAGGGCTGAAATGTGGGATTCCCTGGCCAAAGACAAAGGGTTGTGAAAGAAAGAACAAGCAGAGATTAGCAATGGATTACACCTCAACACACCCCCCTGGACACGGCTCTGGGAGCTCTGCAAAAACGCCAGTAACTAGAACGTGTTCTCAAATGAAAAGTCCATGCTTAAAAAATAAATAAAGAGAAGTTCAGAGCATTGGGAATCCTATAAGGCTTGCAAGTAATTTGCTAAAAATCATGCTAACCTGTAGCATCTAGTCCTAGCGAGCCGAGACTGCTGAGCTGAATTGATACTTTTTTTTGGTGGCCTTTTCACTGTCTTCTCCTCGTCCTCCTTTACAGACTTCTATTTACATTTGGCTTTAAATATGAAAATACTTGATAAACTTTATAAAATGTACAATTTTTAAAAATATTTCTGAAAAACCGACTTGAAAAACAAAACAAACAAACAAGAAAAAAAAATAAAATAAAACAAACCCAAAACCTCTGCACCAGAAACGTTAAAGGGGAGGGGATTTTAACTCTCTGGATTTCTTGTGTGTCAAAGAAATGCGACGAATCCTGAATTTTCCATCCCCCCCATCTCTCATCTCTCCCTCAAAAATCTCAAGTATCATTTGGTGGGAGCATTGTGCACCTGGGGGATGCTGATCTGAGATCAGGTCCCCTTTCTCCTGCCCAGCCTCCCTTTCCCCGTTGTGTTTTCGTGCCCCCTCTGTGTCACTGAATACTCTTTGGTTTGGTTTTTCTCCTTTTGCAAGAACATCACCGGTAGCAGCACCAGCACCACCCCGTTGTCTCCACCGCAAGAAACTGCAACCAGACCGCCTTTAAACGTCCACCCTTCCCTTCCTTCTCCATCCTCCCACCCCAGTAACAGCCTCAGCACTTGCACTTCATCCTCTGCCCTCTCCAGGAGCCAAATCTGTGTTTACCACATGGAACTCCCCCAGTTCCCACCCCGCCCGCTGCAGACAGCATCTTTATCAGAAAGCAGTTCATTGCAGGCATTTCTTCCGCCAGGCAGGGGCCAGAGGCCTGCACAGATCTCCGTGTGCAGAAGACACCAGACCTAGAACAAGCTGTTTTTTAATGGCATACAGTGATCCAATACTGCAAGAGTCGTCCGGGACTGCCACCCCCCGCGAGCGGGGGCCAAGCACAGCTTTGCTGTCTCCTTGAGCTTAGAGGCACAGAGAATTTAAAGCCTTCTGGGTGAAGGAGCCAAAATGCCACCAGAGCTTTGCTGAAGGTGACAAAATCCGCTCGGTGACGAGTGGAGGGCGAGTGTCACCCGCTGAGTGCCCGGCTGGGCTTTGCCGGGGAGGGAGGCAGGAGATGAAGCTCCCTTTGCAGCCTCATCCTCCCCAAGGAACCCCTCTCTCCACCAGATGGAAATCCACCTTCCTCACACCCTGCCCTGCTGAAGAGAAGCGTCTCGCACAAAGCGCTGCCGTCCCTTCGCCACTCCCGAGCGCTGCGCTGCCAAGGCCCTTTCCTCCTCTTCCTCCCTCCTCAAAAAACTCCTCCTGGGGACTTCTCTGCTGCTTGGCTCATCCGTGGCCAACTCCAGCAGCCTCTGGCATCAGCCAGCAGCTCCACGGCGTGTCCATGGCACAGCTTCAGGGAAAGCTCCTCCACTCGGAGCTGAGGGGCTGGGGCAGGCCAGGGAGGACACGCAGATGATGCTGGTTTGCTTCCCCCAGCTGAGTTTTTTCCCCCTACAAGAAAAGAGGGATTTTATTCCCCTCACAGAAGAACGGGGGGAAAGAGGAGGAGGCCCAGCTCACTTTAGATCCGAGCCTTAAGCCTTTAGAATAAGGTGCAAAATAAAGGTCTTTGAAAGAAAAGAAAAAAAAAAAAAAGAAAAAAGTCAAAACAAAAAAAGTGTCTGAGGTTTGATTTTTTTTTTTGTTTAAAGCAGCCTGTTTCTTTTTTTTCTTTTTTTCTTTTTTTTTTTTTTTAAATAAACTCCACTGTGCAAAACTGTGCATTTTCTTTGGTATCCACTTAGGTAGTTTAACGTAGTACTTTTTCCTATGTATACATATCTTTTGTCTCGTTTTTCCTTTAAACAGAGAATTAAATTCTCCCCCCAAAAAAATCATAATTTTGCTGGAGGCTACTGATTGGCCTGATATTACATAATGCCCCTTATGTAATTGGAAAGAGAGAAATTGATTCTAGCTATCAACTACTGGCCTCAAAAGGAGTTTAAACTTTCTGGCAACATTGGCCTCTCTGATCACGAGCTTTTCAACCCAAAAAGTTCAACACTGACTTTTTTTTTTTCCTTTCTTTTTAAATTACACAAGAGAAAATAAAAACTACACTGCAACAAAAATAACCATTTGTGTTCATGTAGTTAGCAGCAGCTTTTTAAAAAATAATTATAATAATAATAATAAGGCAGATTCTTGCCTTTGTTATGCCATTAAAAACATTCTTGTTCCCTAGAGAGAAGCATTCTGGAAAAAGTTGAAAAAAAAAAATAATAATAACCCAACCAAAGCTTGCCTGCAAGTTCAAGTTTTGTAAAAAAATATATACATAATTTATTCTACAACATATGTGCCTTCTGTTCATACTTAGACATGTTTAGTGCTTTGTGTTTAGAGTTCATTTCCTGTCGTCCCTCCTCTGAGGACAGCCCTAAAACCAGCCTGGGTTCCTCGGGTCTGCTGCCTTCACGCCACTCTTCCACAGTACCGTTTTCTGCAAACTCTTCTGGGCCAACTTCTCAGGTCAACGAGCCCTTGCCCGACGGACACGGTGGGGATTTTGCCTTCCAGCCACGCGGGAGAGGCAGAGCCTGCCAGTCATATCTCCGACTCCCGCCGCAGCGGCCGCGGCTCCAGGGGCACCCCCGCCTGGTTGTGGTGCTCCATGTCCGGGTGGGTGTCCGTGCTCATGCTCTCAGGCACCCCCGTGTCGATCTCGTCCTCCTCCTTGCTGCTGAGGGCCACCTCGTTCTCGTAGCAGAAGGAGTTGGCGTTGGAGAGGATGTATTTCTTCTCCGCTAAGTCCCTGGCACTGCAGATGGGTGTGTTGGGCACTTCGTACGTTTTGTGGAACCTCGAGTAGTCCACTTTGTAGTAGTTCTTCTCCTCGAAGAGCACGGGCTCGTAGCGGTGGCCCCAGAGGATCTCGTTGGCCAGATATGAGCTACGGCACTGGGTGGTCATGGCGGTGGCCTCCACCATGCCCTCCAAGATGACCACGATCTCGAAGTCAGCATTGTCCATGTCCTGTTTGCTCAGGTCATACAAAGGGCTGTCCTCGTCAATCTCATGCACTATTGTAATGGGGGAGACCAGGAAGATGCGGTCGATGCCGCTGTCAAAGCCCACGTTGATGTCGATTTGATCCAGGGGGATGTACTCCCCTTCCGACGTGATCCTGGATTTCAGGAGCTGCGCCCGCACGTGCGCCTCCACCAAGTGGCTTTTCCTCAGGTTCCCCACGCGCCACATCAGGCACAGCTTCCCGTCCCTCATGGCCACCACGGCATTGTGGCTGAAGACCAGAGTTTCGTTCCTCTTTTTTGGCTTAGCCATCTTTGCCATGACGGCACCAATGATGAAGGCATCAATGATGCAGCCCACAATGGACTGGAAGACCACCATGAACACGGCGATGGGACACTCGTCGGTGACACACCTGAAGCCGTAGCCGATCGTGGTCTGGGTCTCGATGGAGAACAGGAAGGCTGCGGTGAAGCTGCTCACCTGAGACACGCAAGGCTTGCTGTTCTCTTGGTTCTCCAGATCCCCGTGCAACAGCGCAATCAACCAAAACACACAGCCAAAAAAAAGCCAGGAGAGGATGAAGGTCAGGCAGAAGATCACGAGCATCCACCTCCAGCGGATGTCCACGCACGTGGTGAAGATATCGGCCAGGTAGCGCTGCCCCTTCTCACCCACGTTGATGAACTGGACGTTGCAGTGTCCGTCCTTCTTGACAAAGCGGCTCCGGCACTGCTGCCGGGTGTGGACCTTGCCCTTGCCGTTGCCGAAGCCGTTGGCCACGGCCATGGTGGACAGCTTCATGCCGTCCTCCTCCGAAGACACGATGCTGTAGCGGTTGGTTCGCACGCTGCCCATCACTACTGCCGGGGACTGAGGTGCTTCTGCTTTAGAAAACAGTCTGAGTTTCTGCAAAACCCTTTGGAGAAACAGTTTTGAAAGTTCTACAGGAACACACACACGCGGAAAAACCGGGCAGAGGCCGGAGTCCCCAGAAGCCCTCGGACCGACCAAGGACAGTCTGCTGGCATGCAGGGTGAGCTCAGCAAGCCACTGTCATAGAGAGGGCATGGTCTGCAAGAGAAAGAGAAATGGCACTTTAGATCCTGGAGGAAAAGCATGAGGAATCGAGGAAAATGACACCTGTGGACCCGCAGGAAGTTTCCTCTTTCTTAATGACATTTTCAGCAGTGCTCAATGTTCGCAGCTGTGCGTGGACAGGGGTCACACATCGTTACTGTGAGGAAGGAATTGCCCTTCCCGAAGGAAAGCGCTGAGGGGATCGTGTCACACCAGTCTGAACAATATTCGCTTTAAAGTTGGGCACGCAAAGGATCTCTCTGCTATTTATAACCGTGAGTTCTGCTTATTTTGAAAGAAACAATTCCCTTTAACATCCTTCTGTTCAAACACAAATACTGAAGTGGTTTGTAGCGACTTATGATGTGTCTCGTGGACCATCTGACCCATGACAAAGCAGGGAGAGAGCAAAGGGGAAGGTGGAGACAGGGAAGTGATTCCATGAAATTAAAGGACATACAATTGTTTTAATTAAGCTAAAAGAAGGAGTTGTGTATTCTCAGCAAATTTCACTGTTGCAGTTGCTTCTCTCTAACTCCACAAACTCATCGGGATTTCTGTAGTTTTTACGCTCAAGTTTGGCCTAAGTTGTACGTAAAAATTAAACCTTTTAAACTTCTCATCTGCTCCTGCTACAGCCACCAGTAAAACGTAGCAGAATCAGCTGAGTGCCTTCCTAACACCTTTAGGAGTGAGAGAGGAGCCCGAGGCAGCTCCTTCCATCTCCAGCGGGTGATGGTCCCAAGAGACCCAAGGGTCTGAAATGTCACCAATCAAGACTCGGCAGAAAGGCTACAAAACTCTCTTCCTGAGGGGAGAAGCCACCAAAAACTTGTTTCAGGGAGGTCTGGCTGAGACCCAGGTCTAGCTTTTAACAAGTGCGTCATCCATTAAGTCATGTACTGCATATCAGGAAATGGAATTGAAATACTGCAGAGGAGAAGGGATGCATTAAAGCAACTGCTCCAGCCACACATGGCCCACGGAGGGAATAAAGCTAAAGCCGGCTGGAGAAGAATGTCTGCTGTCCCTTTGGCACGGCATGGGAGGCTCCAGAACCATTTACAGTAGCAGGGGATTCAATCACGGTGCTCTTCCTAAATTAACGTTATCAAAACTCATCGGAGTTTGTCCAAAAGCCAACAAAACCGCAGCCACCGTGGAGCACAACCCCTGCCCGGCAGGACCTCTGCTCTTCCTCTGACTGGAATCTGACAACAGCTGGAGATGAGATGTTATCTCCTTTCCCAACAACAGCAGCCCCCAAAGCCCTGCCGAGGTGCTCCAAAAACTTGAGCGGTTCCAAACAACTCCGCAAAGCCCTCCCACATCCTCCGGCCACATTACAAAGGCTTGAGCTCAGCAAACACTTGTTAGGAAAAGAGCAGGTGACAAACAGCAACATCACCAGCTCTGTGCAGGCTGCTTTTCCCTCCAGGATCTCCTCAGGGTTTACTTTCACCTCCTCTTTTCCCCTCGCTCCTGTTTGTTGTGCAAGAAAGTGTCCCGCTGCCTCCCTGCCAAGATTAGTCATCTGTGACTTCAGCTCAGACAAGACATTTTGGCAGCTCTTGGCGAGTTCTGTAATGCCCGTTTGAGTGCAGCTCTCAGCACTGAACGCTTCTGGTGGAGCTTACTCTGGGCACTTACTCTTACTTTTACAGCTGTCGTGCCTCCAGTGTGTAAGAATCCACTCTTTTGCCCCCTTACACCTTTTTGTTCGCGGGTTTTCTCATTCCCGTCAGGATATCGTGCTCAAAAATACAAAAGAATTCTTTTAATGCTCACTTAAATTATTTGTTTTGGCCAAAACCCCACTTTTATTAGAAACCTGAGCGCGGCAGGGAAGTGAAATTACTGTTAATACATCCCACATAAAAAAAACTTCTTGAAAAGCCATTGCACTGCTCTGCAAATCGATCACTCCCATAAACCACATCCTATAATCACAGTCATGTTTGACTTCCACGGTCAAAGCCTGTTTTGTTCCAAGCTGATGGAAACACACAGCCTAGGAAACAGTTTATTCTAAAGTTTGGTTTTTTCCTTTTCTTTCACGGATTTTAGAGGAGAACTTTTGGTGGAGGGGAAGATGTAACATTTGAAGTGTTCGAATACACAGCTTCTCCCACAAAAGTCTCGACCTGAGGACACTTGTTTGGATTCCACAAATCCCTGAAATCCTAAAGCCAACATCCTGTGGCTGCATTTAGAAGTTTGGGACCCGAATTTGTCATGTTCCTCCCCTGGAGGACTGAGCACCTCTTCCCTCCTGTCCCGTGCCCGGATCCCTCCTCGCTGGTGGTGCTGTGGGAGTGGAGCTGCACCCCTTTGGTTCCAGGGACCCCCAAAGCTGGGGGTGAGCCTGGGGGCAGCTTTGCAGCCTGCTGGAAGTGCACAAAGCTCTGGCACACCCCAGGGTGGCAGAGCTTTCTGCCTGTTTTTCCAGCACAAAGTGCCTCTCCTCCTGCGAGTGCTCGGAGTGGGGAGGAGGATGGGATGGGTGGGATGGGAGCAGGAGCAGCACCACACACAGGGATCAGCCAGAGGGGCTGATCTTGCTCCTGCTCGTGGAAATACAGGTCCTGTGAAATGCCCTGTGGATCCACTGGCTGCCCCAGCACCTGCTCCGTGCTCACCCTGACCCTCACAACCACTTCCACCAAAAGTTCCCCCGAAAAACCCAGGAACAAAGCAGCAGGAAAACCTAATGCTACTTCTTATGGTGCCAATCCACCTGCTGCTCAAAGGCTGGACAACGCTGCTGCCCCTCACTCCACCCCAGCATCAGCTGCTGGTGGCACCAAAAATTCCAGGCTGATGTGGGAAGCAGCCCTGCAATCCTCACTGGGCAAAGGGAGCCAACCCAGCACCACCGACCCACCCCAGTATCTGCCTAACTGGGCACAGCGCAGGGCAGCCAGACACAGAGCTGTAAATTCAATCATCACCAGGTGTGTTGTTATGATTATTATGATTATTATTATTATTATTATTAATCCAGGTGACCTTTCCTCCTGGAAGGAATGACAAGCAACACAGTTTGGAATCACCAGCAGTGGCAGGGACACGGGATTACTGGGAAGGGACGAGATGGGATGGGAGAGCCTGGCTGGCTCTGCTGCGAGGAGATGCTTGGAGGAGGGGGGAAGATGGGGCTGTGCTGCATCTGCAGCATTTCTGAGCCAGCATTTGGGGAAATGCCACCGTGAGGAGCCCAAAGCTTCACCCTGAGCATCCCCCTCCAGACCTGCCCTGGTGAAGGACGCTCACATCGCAAGGCGCAGCAGGAGGGGATTTGTGCAAAGGTTGAAGACTGAGAGACAACTCCGGAGTGCAGAGGAGCAGGGGAGGGGTAGAGAGGAGCAGCAGGGAGCGCTTGGAGCTGTTATTCCCCGGCTGACGCCACCGAGCCCTGCGGAGCGAGCCGGGCACATGTTGCCAAGAGAGCACCCGCACCACCTCAGCCAAGCGCCCTCCCTGCTGCCCTCGGAAAGCAGAACAAAGCGGCTTCTGGCCCCAGCCAAGCCTGTTCCCACATTCCTGCTCCCTCGCTGCCGGGCACAGCCACCCCTGTAACCTTTCTCCTTAAAAGTCATTCCCCAGGGCTCCTCCGCTGCTCCGGGCACGACTCAAGTTACACGGAGCGGCGAGCTGCCTTCAGGAGAAGGATCTGACCTTCAGGGACAGGCAGCGAGGGGGAGAAAAAAATGCAAAAAGAGCACATGATGCAGGGAAATGGGTGCGAAGAAATAGGAGAAAGGGAAGGACAAGTGGCGCTCGCATCTGCTGTCCTGCCAAGGAGACGGGCTCGGGGTATTTGTAGCTGGTGACAAAATACCTCCGAGAGGAGCAGCCATCACCAGGGGGTGTACGCGGCGCACCGGCTGCGAGGATGGAAAAGCAAACAAGTGTAAAGGTAAGGCTGAGCCACGGAGTGCGGGCAGCCTGCGGGGTGGGGACAGAGCCGCGGGTCCGGCTCAAGCCAGGCCAGCGGCACCTGCGGGTCCCCAGCGTCCCCCGCCCCGGTCACTGACCCCCCAAATCCATCTGCCTTTGCTTATCAGTATTTTTTCCTTTCACTGTCATGAGCTAAGCTGAAACAATACAGCTCTTCGCTGCCTCCCCAGATGGTTTTTTTTTTATTATTATTATTATTTTTATTTTGCCGCTTCCCATTTTTTTGGCAGGATGGTCAAAAACACAGGAGCCTTCCCGTTCGCATCGTGTCGATGAATGAAGCTACAGGTTCATTTCACAGCTCTCTCAACCATCCCGGACGCTGAAACCGAGTGCCGAGACTCGCCGCTTCTGCCCTCCCTCCGTGCAGGAAACAACAGGCGAGAAGGAGGCGAAGGGATGGAGCGGTGCGCTCCGTGCGAACTTCCAGCCCTTCCCCAGGATAAAATATCCCGAGGGGGGGAAAAAAAAAAAAAAGCGGGGAGCAGCTGGTGCATGGAAAGTTATGAGCACAAACAGATGCTGAAAGCAGATGCTCGGGCGCTCCAGCCATACCTATCGAATTATTTTCGGCGCTGAGAATAGCTCCGTGAGAAACGCAGGAGTTCCCCCTCTTCTCCGAGCCGCAGGCAGCGGCCGCTTTATCGCGGGGGTATCGCGACAGCGCGCGCGCCGCGCATCGCCTCCGCTCCTCGGGGAGGCGGGGAGAGACGGGGGCAAGGAGGCGATTCTTACCTGCGGCGGCAGCTGGGGAGGTGCCGGCGCGGAGAAGGGGTAAGATCCGTGGCGAGGCCGTGCCCGGTGCCCGCTCGGCTCGCACTGCGCTCCCGCCCGCCCGCGGCCCCTTTTTGCGGGCGGCCATGGCATCTTTAATACGGGCCCGCCGGACACGCCCCCCGCGCGCCAGCAGCCAATCACAGCATGGGGCGGGGCCCGGGGGGCGGGGCCTAGGAGGGACCGGGAGCGGCGGGGATGGAGCGGAGCCGGGATAGAACCGGGATAGAGCCGGGATAGAACCGGGATAGAGCCGGGATAGAACCGGGATAGAACCGGGATAGAACCGGGATGGACCCGGGATAGAAGCGGGATGGAGCCGGGATAGAGCCGGGATGGAGCCGGGATAGAGCCGGGATGGAGCGGGGATAGAGCGGGAATGGAGCGGAGATGGAGCGGAGATGGAGCCGGGATGGAGCCGGGATGGAGTGGGAACGGAGCGGGGATGCTCCGGGAACTGAGCGGGGATGGAGTGGGGATGGAGCGGGAACGGAGCGGGGATGGAGCGGGGATGCTCCGGGAACGGAGCGGGGATGCTCCGGGAACGGAGCGGGGATGCTGCGGAGCGGCGCGCAGAGCCGGAGTTCCCGCTGCCAGGAGGAACCCGGGAAAAGGCTTTGGGTTCCTCGGTCATCGCTGCGGGGGCTCCTCGGCTTCCCGGTGCGGAGGATCCCGGGAGAAGGCGCCGGATCCCTGGATCCCTGGGCTCCCGGTGCAGAGAGTCCCTGGGTCCCCCCTGCGGAGGATCCCGGGAGAAAACGCCGGGTCCGGGATCCCGGGATCCCCGGTGCTGGAGGTCCCCAGGTTCCCGGTGCGGAGGGTCCCGGAAGAAGGGGCCGGATCCCTGGATCCCCGTGCGGAGGGCCACCCCCGGTCCCCGGTGCAGAGGGGGCCAGGAGAAGGCGCCAGGTCCGCGGGTTCCCGGTGCGGAGGGTCCCGGGAGAAGCGGCGGTGGAGAGCGGGGGCGGCCGCGCTCTCTCGGCTCAGCGGGGAGGCAGCGGCGGTGCGGGTTCGTTCCCCGGCTCCGGGACGCTCCGGTTGCGCCCTCGGGCACCCGACACCTGCCGCCGGCATCCCCCAGCCTCCCTCGGCAGCGATAAAGGCTTTTTCGGGACTTCACGGGGAGTTTGGGATGGTCCCGCGTGGGAGCTGGCTGCCCGCTCGCTCCCGTTCCCAGGTTTAGGGCTGATGTCCGAGGCCCCGGGAGGTGAGAAAAAATACCGGAGACACAAAAGTTTCGTTTCTTTTGTCCCTTTTTTTATTTTAGCGAAGGGAAATGCTAAGGCGCAGGGTGTCCCATCCCAAACTCCCGACCCTTGCAGGCACGAGAAGCCAGCCAAGCACAACACCGCCCCTAAACCGAAAATCCTTCTCCTTAACGAAATGAAACGTCCCTTCCAAAACAAAGCTTTGATCCCCGGGCTAAGATCTTTTGGAGCAAGGCAAGGACGAGCCTGGCTGCAGTGCGTGGGATCCACGGCTTTGTTCCCTGAGTCACCTGTGGCAACTCGGCCAGGCTGGCCAGGCTTGAAATATGCAGAAATCCAAATGATTTTTAACAGCTTGTCCTCCCTACGGTGGACGTGGCCTAAGACAAAGAAAGCAGGGATGAAATGCCTGGCCGGGAGCCTTGCAGGAACAAAAACAGCCTTGTAAGCACAGCCTGAAGTTTGGCAAGCTCCAGCTCTGATGGACAGTGCAGGGGTGTTGGGTTCCAGGGCAGGTGTCGGCAGCAGGACACTGTCCCTGCCCTCGGGAAGCGACAACAGCTGAAATCCAGCCCGTGGTGCGCTGGAGAAATAAAGTGGCTGCTGAATGCAGGGGGGCAGAGCACCGCAGGCTTTAGGAATTGCCACGAACACCTTGAATTGCACCCAGCACTGCGACAGCAGCCCCGGAAACACCCAAAAATGAGTGCTGGGGATGCTCCCGGGAAAGGCAGCGGGAATCAGCAGCGGGAATCAGCAGCAGGTCAGCCTGGAGCTGCTGAGGGGTCGGCCTCCAGAGAGCTTCTTACAATGTCCAGAGCAGGCTGTAAATAAGATTTCTTATTTTCCACAGCAATGCCAGTGCCTGCAGTCTCTCCTCGTTGCTTAAACTCTCCTCCTCCTCCTCCTCCTCATTAGTTTGCTCAGTTTCCGAGTGTGCCACGAGCTGCCTTTAAACACTCGGTGGAAGATCTTTGCCCAAATGCTCTCTCCTGGCGCAGAGGCTCCAGGAACAGCCTCCCCACGCTGCTGCTGCTCCATCCAACTCCATCCCACCAACTGCCATGCCTGGCACCGGCCCTGTTTGCCGAGCTCCCCGCATCCCCAGCGAGGAAGTGCCGCTGTTATTGTTGCAGCAATAAACACAACGGCCGAGGGCAGCTGGTTCACAAGCGCCACATTTGTGAGTGCAGGAGGAGCAGAACTGACGTGCTGGGGAGGGGGAAGCAGAGACAAGTGCTTCTGCGAGTTGGGCAATCTGGCGAGTTGGGCAACCAACGCTGTTTGTGAGTTGTTCTTTCATTTGCAAGGGGAAGAGAAGTCCAAAACTTGCAAGTGACGGATCTGGAAAGCAAAAATCTATAAAAGGGGATGGCAGCAATTTGTTTATCAATTTAGTGAGAGGAAGATAATTAAATCCACAGGATCTGAAAGATATGGGCACAGCTCCTGTACCTGTATCTGAGAAAAAAAACCCTTGTGTTTCTCAATTTGTGTACATCCCATGAACTGCTAAAACAGCAGTTCGAGGCACCTTGTAGTATTTCCAAATCTACGTGTCAGTGAAATAAAGAGATGTGACCAGCTCCTGCTAAGAGATGCTCTGCTGGGGGGTGACTGCAGCAATTCCCTGTGCAAAATCCCCAAGATATTCCAGATTGCAGCCCGGCTTTGGAGCCTCTTACTCAGCCTTTACTCATGCGAAGTGGCTGATAAAAAATACAGCCCTACTACACATTTATCTGCCCAGATGAGTAAGGCTTACTCAGCCATTCAGCATTTCACACGAGGCAGGGGAGAGCACATACATCACCACTGTTTCACAGCTTGCTCAAAGTTGGGGCAGCTCTGCCCAGAAAGCTCTTCTCCGAAAGAAATATCGATTCTAAACCTAATTCACGTGTAATGAAAACCATAACGGGGCCCTCTGCGTGGGCTCCAGCGAGAGAAGCCCTTCCAAACTTCCAAACAGGGAAGCTGAAGTTACAAGAAAAGTTTCTAAAAAACCCTTTCCTGTTGCAACAAGCCAGGACAAAGAGGGTGAGACAGCTGAAAACTTAACCCTCAGCGCTGAGCAAGGGGTTCCTTTTCCTTCTCTCCATGAATGCTTTTGCAATCTGGTATAGCCTTGCCTCAGAAATCTCTCACTGAAATATCAGAAAAGTGGTCAAATATCAGAAATGTTCATGGGCTGAGAGATTTTTCAAGGCAGGACCCTTTATCTGCAGAAGAAATGGTACCAGGGGAGAGGAAGAACATTGGAGAATTTTTCTCCCCTTTTGCTGTCGCAGTTCTGCCCTCGGCTGTCACCACAGCCACCCCTGTCCCTCAGGGGGATCCTGCAGATATTCCCCCTGGAAGGAAATTTGGGAGTTGTGTTGCAGGCCCAGACCCCCGTGTCTCACTCCACAGGAGATGTTATGAAATTGCTTTTTCTGTCTTGGCGCTGAAAGGACCTAATTATCAGATTGCATTAGTCCTCATCTCTTCAAGTGGCCAAATCTGCTTTGGTTCTCAAGGATTTTATTGCCAGCTGAAAATGGCTTAATTGTATTGTACTTGCAAAGAAAACACGGGCTGGGGGAATCAAAGCTTTCCACAAGAGGAGAAGAAATGCCATAAATAACACGCTGGGCTTTTATTTTTTTGGGTCTCACCATTTCCATGCATGTAAACTGGCATGAGTGTGCCTTTCTTCCCTAACCATGAAGTCAACTGGAAAAAATTCCTCAGGAAAAGGTGGTTTCCCCATTCCCAGTAACCTCCTGGGGTTTAGGCATTAACTGGATCTTTATAGGTCTAATGCTGGGATCTCCAAGGGAAAATGAACCCACGCTGGTAAGAGAAGGAATGGGGAAATCCAATGAAAATTCCACAAAACCTGCACGTTTGATAAGACTTGAGAGAGCAAATAAATAAATTTGAAAGCAAATGGGATCTGCTCGATAAAAATGGGTTTGTCCACGGGAGGGATGAAACTGGACAGAGGAAATTGGATTTAGGCTTTATGTACCTGTGAAGAATGGAACTCATAACCCCCCCTCAGCCACATTTGTTTCCTTAACCGTATGTTTTGTGTTCAAAATCTTCACTTAAGATTTCAGTTAGGCCTTAGTTAGGCTTATCTTAAAGGCAAATCACCAGCCAGTCACTGTATTTTGGGGAAAAAAATAAATATATTCTCAGTCCTTGCTGCTGCAGGAGGGGGATGTGGGGAGCAAGGTGAGGAAATCTTGAAATACTGAATTCCAAACAGAAATCCACTTCTAGCAGGAGCTGTACCCAACTCCCAATCCAACAGCAACTCCCAAATTCTGCCAAGGAAAACTCCTTTCCAAAGCTGTGTTCCATGTGGCTCGGTTCTCACCAAATTAAGGCGCCTAATTTAAAGCATCTTCAGTTCCCAGCTGAACTTTCAGACCCAATAAAAGGTGGTGTTGGGAAAAAGGGAGCTCTGAGCTCTCACTGCAGGGTCAAAGGTGTTCAAACAATCAGGAAATGTTCATCTGATATTTAATGTACACCTGGCACATTCCATATTTTCCCCAAGCAGGCAGGTCCAGCACCATTCAGGGATCCAGGATTGTGGATAACCTCCCAGAAATGCAGTAAATGCATCTGGCATTGTTTGTGACACAGCAAAATTCCATGTTTTTCCTTCTCAAACCATCAGCTGGGGCACTTCGTGCTCAAAGACAGCAGTGGGGAGATGTTTCCAGATTAATGAATTTTCAGATTAATGGGAATGAATTTTCAGATTAATGGGAGCAAATTTCCAGATTAATGAGAAGGAATTTTCAGATTAATGAGGAGGAATTTTCAGATTCATGAGGAAAAATTAGTGTG